GCGACGCGGCTCCCGCGTGTCCCGGCTGGCAGCACCCAGCGCGCTCCCTGCCACCGCGTGGGTCTCGGCATGTGTCAGCACCTTCCAGCCCCGAGACCGAGACTGTGAATTGGCTCCGAGCGTGGCCTTGATTTATTTTTTTAATTTAATACCAGTTGACTTGATGTATTTATTTTGGCAGCGGGTTACCCCTCAAACCCCAAACCCTGCTAAAACAGCATGTTCTGTCCCTGCCAGCCCACGCCGACACAAACAGGAGGGTTGGGACCTGACCCCCGGGCGTGTGCCCCGCGCTCGTCCCCGGGCAGGTGCCTGGGTGGCACCCGGCTCCTTCCCTCGAGCTACCGGACCCACCGGGAACCAGCCCCCCGGGTGAGCGGTGGCTGGGAGCTGGGAGTTTTTTACAGCCTGAAGGGTTGGTGCCAGTTTCTTACCCCGTCTCCCAGGGGAACGCGGAGCAGGAACGGGAGCAGGTTCCTGCGCCCGCCCCGGTGGGCTCGGAGGTGGGGGCGTCCCCTTGGCACAGGATGGGGCTCAGGGATGCTGAGATCGACACCTTCAGACCCCCAACCCAAAACTCCACCTGCGCGAGGCTGGTACGGAGTCGGGGAGGAGGAGGAGATGGGCTGCCTCTCGTCTGGCGTCACCACTGCCTCGTTGCTCGCCCGGTGTCACCACTGCCTCGTTGCTCGCCCTGGGCTGCCCCATGCCATAGGACCCGCTCGGAGATCCCCAAGTGGGGGGGATCCACTCGCTCTCCAGCCCTCAGGCATGGTGGGGTGGGATCCCTCCTTGGCATCACCAATGAAATAGAGCTGCGACCCCTGGCCCCGGGAGGGGATTTGACCCTGAGGGTCCTCCTCCTCCTGCCAGAAGTCAAATATTGCCCCAAAACACCCATGGGGCCACTGTCCTTCCACCAGCACCCGGCACAGGGACCCTGGCTCCTCTGCTACGTGGTGGACATTTTGGGGTACTTATATTTAATTATGGGTATTTATTATGTCCACCACGCAGCAGAGGGGTGGGAGAGCACAGGGGGCTGGGAAGGGGCTTCGGGTCCCCTGAGCATTTGAACCCCCCAGATCCAGCCCTGGGAGCCTCCCTGCCACCAC